GACTTGATTTGACCGAAATACAGACCCCTGAAAATTGTCGAGCTGAGTCAAATGACACCAAAATCAATGTAAACGGACGAGTTTAGACATAGTTATGGCATTATTTAGACCTACCGGAGTCGGAAACATTATGTCATAACTTTGTCAAAACTCGTCTGATTATGTCGATTTCGGTGTCATTCGACTCAGCTCGTCGAGCTCTTTCGAATGAGCTATCATTTGTATACTTTTTCGTCCTTTTGGTTTTTCGCCCCTATGGTTGTTCAATTTTCAGGGGTCTGTATTTCGGTCAAATAAAGTCGGATTTTTTTTGATTTTGGTGTCATTCGACTCAGCTCGACGAGTTCTATAACTTATGTCTGACTGACCATTTTTTAATACTTTGAGGATGGAAAAAAGGAGGGGGGGGGGAACGAAATTGAATTTTACCGAGAACTGTGAATTTTTGGAAAGCTAACGAATTGGAGAAAGGCTCGTTATTTCAAAATAAAGGGTTCGCTAAATCTAGCGGTTCAAAACTAGGGGATCTTCTGTCTAAGTAATCTTTTACTTCTAATTCATACCAATAAAAGTATATCTTTAATTTATGATTATTTTACAAAAAATTTATAAATAAATTCCAAATTTATAAATAGGAAAAAAATAAAATTACGGATGAATGCATAAATTCTTTTCTTTAAAAAATTTAAACAAAAATTGGTTTATACACAACAATAATTACTTAAATAGAAAATATATAATCGTTTAAAGAATTTTTTTATTTTTGCAAATATTTTTTGTGTTTTATAATAGATAGAAAAAATAAATTTGTTAATAATTAATTCAAAAAATATCTCAATATCTCCAAATAAATTAAAAAATAACACGTTTCCCTCTCCTGCAAATTTCGGTTTCGAAGTTTTTCTTTATTTTTGAATATTTGACTTTTTAAATAATAAAAAGAAATCTTTAATTGTTGTAATAAAAATGAAATTATTTATTTATTAAAAAAAGTTATGTAAACACATAAATAGAGGCATATTTTATACCTAAATATTAAATTACCATTTCCGCTTTTCTTGAAATTATTTTTATTTTATTTTAAAATCAAATGTTTATTTTAATAAAAAATCGAATCTCGATTTTATGTTCATCTATTGGGGACGGAAAAAGGCTTATTGTTAGCTAAAACTTGGATATACATGGAATATCCTCGATCTCCTCGCCGTCCTTCTCAACATACTATTAAAATTGTACATAGAGTATACTTAATTTGTTCTGTTATTTATTTAGCCATTATTTTTTCCTTGATTTAGATAAAAAAAATTTTAACTATTTTTTATCTGTATTTATTCAATTTATTTTGAATAAATTTTAAAAAATTCTAAAATAAATAATTTTTGTTTTTATTAATTTTAGAAATTTATTTTCAGAAATTTATTTTCCATTCTATTATTATTTTACCTACCTACCTATATATTTTCTTTTATTATTTTAAACGATTTTATTTTTTTTATAAAAATATATTTACGTAATTCCTGTTATTTTTTTAAAATAATTTTTAATAAATAAATAAATATTTATTTAATAATCCTTAGCCTTTTTTCTCTAATTTTTACTGCCACACACACACTAAAACTGTTCAAATAAATTTTAAAAAATTTTTATCTTTTCCATTATTGGATAAAAATTTTTATTTTTTAATTATTAAATTATTTAAAAAAAGATTTTTTTAATTATTAAAAAATTTTAAATTTTATTTCCTCATTTTTTAAAATTAAATTAAATCATTGATTTACTTAATACCGTGGATCTGTTTTAACTATCACCCAATCCCAAATACTTCCTAAATACATTTTATGAAATCTGGTTTTCTTTTATTTCGAGGGTTATTTATAAATGAAATCCAACTTTCAACTAATCTTGTTTCTTCGATTTTTAAAAATTTGTTCTAATAAATATAAAAAGCGGCCCTATATCCTCCGAGTCGTTAGGAGGCGACTCTGAACGACTCGCCTCCGAGTCGTTCCGAGTCGTTATTTTTTTTATTTTTAGTTTTTACAGAAAAGAAAGATTTAATTTTCAATTACAAATAATTTGTTAAACAATATTAAAAATAATTATATATCTTTATTACACTATTTAATCCGAATTTTATTTTTAACAACTAATAATTAAATAATCGCTCAGCTTTTGCAAACACAAATTTTAAAAATTAACCAATAAAAAATTTTTTTAAATAAAAATAAATATGTACTTCCCGGTTTTGACTTGTTTCGGTTTCAGTTCTGTTAACCGACCGCAAACAACCTTAATAAGTACCTTAAATAAATAAGTAATTTTTAGTAAAGAAATGGATGAAAATAATTTATTACAAATAAATAAAAATAATTATTTAATTACATCAACAACCACAACAACTCAATCCCCTTTATTATTTTTATCAGAAGGAGATCATCAACAACAACAACAACCTTTAGATACTTGGCGTGTTCCTCCCTCACTTTTTGCTGTTTTTGCATTCTTTTATGCAGCTGTATTTTTTGGGGGATTTGTTGGGAATATGTTTGTTGTTGTTGCTATTGCAACACATAAATCTTTGAGGACGGGGACTGATTGGATTTTTGTGGCATCTTTGGCTGTAAATTTTTGATAAATTAAGATAATTTAACAGTCAACCCTAATCTTTCTAAATACTCCGAATTACTCTATATTTGATATACCGTAAATTCTGAAATAATGTCCCTCTCTCAAATAATAACCCCTCACTTTTAATTACCCACTCCAGCGAGAGGTTGAAACATTAATTACCCTGGGTAATTATTTTAGCAAATACGATAGACTTGATTATAAGTAGAGATCGGACTGGGAGTGTCGTAAGAGAATCGAGATCTCGAAAAATTCGCGATCTCAATAACCCTGATTTTTGATCGAGATCTCGTCTCAGTCCGGTATTTAATTATAAGATACAATTCCTTCAGCCTTAAGGAAGATACCCATCCTAAAATCAGGGTTGACTGTACTTTATTAAAAATCTAAAATATTTTTAATTTTTATTTTTTTTAAATTTAAAGTTTGCTGATCTCCTAATTCTTCTCATTTGCCTTCCAAGTACTTTATTAAACAATGTATTGACTGGTAAAAATTCTTAACAAATTAAAAAATTTTTTATTATCCATATATTCTAGAATGGCAACTAGGATCTTTTGGTTGTAAACTATCTGTCTGGCTAAATTCTACAACTTCTTGTGCTTCTATATTTACTCTTGTTGGGGTGACTGGAGAGAGATATTTGGTACTTTAAATAAATAAATAATTGAAGTCTAGCCTCGTTTTTTAAGTCTAGCCTCGTTTCTCTTGGGATTAGTCATATATAGTTATTATTATTAGTCATATATTAGTACCTCCTTGGGATTGAAAAGTCATACTTTATAACGAGATACCTTAAATAGAGGATAACACTTAGGTAGCCCTTCACCCAGAGACCAACCAAATTTCTACAAACCCTTATCTTAAAATGAGGTATATCTAGTACATGTTGGGTATATCTAAAAATGAGAGCTGTTTTTTTTAATTAATCTTAATTTCACAATTTAAGGCAATATGTCATCCATTAAAACAATTAAAAATGAAAAGTTCCCATTTACAATTTTATATTGTCGGAATATGGCTATTAAGTGCAGCATTAGCATCTCCAAATTTATGGGTTTATAGAGAAATTCTTTATGATTTATTATCTGGAAGTGAAAGTGTTAATTTAAATGAGGGTTTAATTGCTAGATTGTGTGTAGATACTTCTGCAAATTTTTGGTTATTTATTGTTATCAATTTGGTAATTTGAATTTTAATTAAAGTAAAATACATATAAACTATATTTTTTATAAATTTCTTAAGGCCGAGGTTCTTTGAGAGAAAATTCAAAAAAAATTTTAATCTAAGGATCAATTCAATTTCTATTTTCTTGTCGTCTCTCATAACCAAAATTACCCATTCTTATATTTTATATGTAGCAAACATTTAGATAAAAATTTAATATTTTGGAAACTGCAATAATTTCTTAATTATTCCAAAGTATACCCCCTACAATTCAAAACCTCACCTTCTCAAGTATCCAACTTATCTTCACTCCTAGCTATCTCGTTTAAAAATACATACTTATCAGGGGTGACTCGCAGGGTGGCCCCTTCCAAAACACTAAAATAGGGCGCAGCCACTCAAAAATAGGGCAAAAATAGGGCGAAATCGGCCAAAAATAGGGCAAAAATCATGGCATAGCTTTAAAAGCTTGAACATAATTAAGATTTCAAATAAGGCGGAAATTTTGAAAATTTTGGAAGGCCAAGAAACCAAAATTCTTCCATTTTAGCGCCGCAGGCGAAAAGTTTGAGGATGTTGGGATGCTAGAAGCCAGATTTCTTCCATTTTTTTGCGCCGCAGGCAAAAATTTTGAAGATTTCGGAAGGCCAGGAAGTAAGAAATCCTACATTTTACTATTTTTTTCTACAAAATCCGAAAAATTTTTGAAATTTTACAAGATGGTAAAAATAGGGCAAAAATATGGCAAATGAGAAAATAGGGAAAAAATAGGGCGAAAAGGTCAAAAATAGGGAAAATCCTCTATAAATAGGGTAAAAGGGCCACCCTGGTGACTCGGTTTGAGAAAATGTCCGGGTTTCGGGTAACTCGACTCATCTCTTGTGCATCAATTCCATCTTATTTTTGAATTTTTTGTTAGGAATATTCCAAAATCCCCCCCCCCCTCTCCACGGGGAAATAATATGTAGCTTAATATATTATCCAAACAATAGGTAATCTCTCATTCAGATGAATAATAAAAAATAAATTCTAATTTTACCCAGAAAATTTCTTTTCAGTTAATTGCCTTCCTCGTTCCCATCATTATAATCTCATTCTTGTATTTCTGCATTTTCCGAGTTATTTCAAGACACACCGAAAAACGGCTAGCAGTTGATAATGGTGCTCGAGTTCGTGATGAAAGGGTTAAATTACGTATTGCCCAAATGATGTTTACGGTAAATTTTTTTGTTTAAAAATTTTTTAAAATTTAAAATTGAAAAGGTTATTGTTGTATTTGTTTTGTGTTGGACCCCCTTGTACGGTCTTTACTGTTATTTTTTTCTGTCAGATGATAAAGATTCTTCATTTTTTCAATTTGCTTCTTCTGTTCTTCGACCAATATTTCAGGCACTTTTTTATCTATTACATAATTCTAACGAGATCTGTTCGGACTTCACTAAAACACTAATAATTTTTCAGCCCACCATTGGGGGTAAAATAAGAAGGGGTACCTTTATTAGGGGAAATTGTTTAAGCAACTCTCCTTCATTGTTTAAAATTTTGAAAATTGCTCGTACTCGACACAGGTACGAGTACGAATTTTGGCACGAGCTTCCAAACACTGCTCTCTTATCATGGATGGGGATCCGGACTTTCTCGGACTTCCGGACTTTCCCCAACCCGGCCCATTTCTGTTCCATACCCATATCCAACGATTTTATAATTATGATGTTATCTCTTACTTAATGAGGTCCGATAATAACATAATTTTAATTTTTAAATTAAAAATTTCAGTGGCTTTCTTTACTCTCTTCCTCCCTCAATCCACTCATTTACATCTGTTTTTCTCAAAAATATCGTCGAGCATTTCATCAATTACTTTTACTTCCTTGCCGAAAGAGATATAGAAAAATTCAACGTGCTACAAGAAATACTTTTAGATTAAATAGTTCTGCTGCTTGTTCTGAACGCCCATCATCTGCGACTCATTTACTTTTACAAAATTCTGCAAAATGTAAAAAAGAGTTTAGAAATAGTATACAGTCAAACCACGTTTTTAAGTACCTTCAAAATTAGAAAACCCTTATTTAAGATACTTTTTTTCTTAATTTGTTAGCGATTGGTTGTGCGAGGATGCCTAAGCTATACCTCCAATTTAAGGTACCCTTATTATAAGGTACTATTTTTTCAGCACAAAGGGGTACCTAAAAGCAGACCTGTGCATGGACACGGATTTTGCTATCCGTATCCGGATATATCCGTGGGGTCGATATCCGTATCCGTTTGTATTCGTCCAACTTTTGAGTCATATCCATCCGCGGGTATCCGCGGATATATCCGTTTTTTCTCAAAATGGTCAGCCTGACCACAATTTTCAAAATGGTCAAATTTATTTAAATTTGAGAAATAGTTAGATAATGAGGTAATAACTGCATGCAGCAAAACGAACCTTGCTTATGAACATCGAGGTTCGAAAATCGGAAGGCATATATCGGAATTCCGACCCAATTCTGTATATTAGGGATCATACTGACAAAAAATAGAATTTTGAAAATTTTTGAAAATTTCGGATAACTGACCAGTAGTTTTTAGCGCCAAGGCGAAATTTTTGAGATTTTTTAAGACCATTAAACAAAAAATCCTTCCATTTCAGCGCCGCAGGCGAAAATTTTGAGAATTTTGGAAGGCCAAGAAGCCAGATTTCTAGATTTTTCAGCGCCGCAGGCGAAAATTTTAAGAATTTTAGAAGGCCGTAGGCAAAAAAATGCACTTTTTTCCTCCCGGCGTTGCGAATATAATTATTTTTTCTTGGTGAAATGTATTTTTAAAATTTAATTAGTGATGTTAAATCGCAGAAATAGGGATGGATATCCGCGGATTTGGAGCATCATATCCGTATCCATCCGTATCCGTCCGATTTTCAAAAAAACAATATCCATATCCGTCCGTATCCGGATATATCCGCGGATATCCGGATATTATCCGTATCCGTGCACAGGTCTGCCTAAAAGTGAGGACTGACTGGATATTGAAAGAAAAATAGGTACTTTTCCGTTATGACGTAACCCTCTAAATTAATGTTCAAAATGTCATATATAGGGTAGAAAAAGGTGCTGAGTCGAACGGTACCACTATTTTTTCACGAAGATGCCTGTGGACCGAGATATAGGGCTCGAAATGGTCAAAAACCATAGGAGAAGTGAGCCTTTCCTACGCCCCATAGGTTTACGTTGACCATTTTGAGCTTGTTCATCTAGTCTCAAAATCAAGATTTCGAGCTGATTTTGGTGTCATTCGACTCAGCTCGAGGAGCTCTTTCGAATGAGCTATCATTCAAAAAATGGAATTTTTCACCCCAAAATTGAGCTTACTCCCCCCTATGGGTTTTGACCACTCCGAGCCCTATATCTCGGTCCACAGGCATCTCCGTGAAAAAAGAGTGGTACCGTTCGACTCAGCACCTTTTTCTACCCTATATATGACATTTTGAACATTAATTTAGAGGGTTACGTCATAACGGAAAAGTACCGAAAAATAAATTTATTTTTAAATTAACAATTAAAAAATTTTTCATTTAAAGCTAACGGCCATTTGCCTCTCTCTAAAGGCCATTCCTGTACCTCAGCAACGACATTAAAACCAAATAATAGATTAGCTAGAGGAAGTTTAGATGTTAATATGTTTACAAATTGTAATAATAATAAACTTGATATTAATTTAAATCAAAGAAGGCCGAGTTCTGCCGTTGTTACTTCCGCTAATTTTAATGATATTTTAATATCTCCGATACAACAACAAAAATGGAGAAGAAAAGAATCAGAACAAATAAATGAAGAAAATAAAAGTGGGAGCTGTTCTTCACAAATTCTGGTAAAAATTAATAAAAATATTTGTAGAGATACATTAAAAGTACAATTCTGATTTTGAAAAATCAGAATTTTTATTCTCAGAATTTCAGAAATAAAACAGGATTCTGATTTCAAAAATTTTTGAAAAACCAGAATTTTTATTTTTCAGAATATTTGAAAAATCAGAATTTTAATTTTCAGAATTTTTGAAAAATCAGAATTTTAATTTTCAGAATTTCTGAAAAACATCAGAATTTTTATTTTCAGAATTTTTTAAAAACATAAGAATTCTGATTTTCAGAACTTCTGAAGAAAAGATAAAAATCAGAATTTCTTTTTAATCAAAACACAATCAGAATTTAATTAACTTTTTATAAAACCAGAATAATATAATCAGAATTTTCGTTTATAGATGGAAGAGAGCAAAGAAAATAGTGAACTACAGCACATACCAGAATCAAAAAAAGAACAAGTAGAAAATTCTGTTGAAATAAAAATTAAAACTTATGAAAAGGAGGTAAATACAAAACAATTAAAATTAACTCAACAAAACGGAAATTTAATTAATTCTGAAAAATCAAAAAAAGAGAATAATGAAGAGGAAATTATTAAACCTGATGTTCGGCAATTGAATACTTTAATTTTTACTTTATAATTTTTATTTTTTTTGTATATATTTTTTGTATGTAAATAGATATAAATATTAAAATTTTATTTATATATAAGAAAACAAATAATTTAAGGTACCCTCATTATTAGCCTTGATTTTTTAACACCAAGGAGTGTCTAAAATCTGACTATATTTTAAAAGAATGTTCTTTTGACTGTACTATAGTTTAACGGATGCATCATTTCTGTTCGAAACACATAACATCCGATGAGCCGAGTCGAACGGCTAATACTTTTTATTTATTAATAAATTTTTGTTTTTAATAAATTATTTCAGAAAATATTATGACAAAATTGATGTTCCGAAGAAATGTACTATTTTCTACGTGGAATTTTAAAAAAATAGGAAATTACAAAATAAAAAAATTTTAAAATATTTTTAAAAAATATACATGATTTATTACATGATTTTACGATTAAAAGTTAAGAAAAGGAGAGAGAATATACATAGTTACTAACAACAATATGTAGATAGTAGTTTGGTGTTTTTTCAATTCCAACAACAATTTTTATAAAAATATTATAAAAAACTTAAATATAGAAAAATGAAGAATTAAAAATAAATTCTTTGAAAGTATCGATATAACAAATTTTAAAATAACTATAGAAATTAAATTAAGATTACATTAATCAGATTGTTACATTGATCCAATCTACTTGATGAGTTATCTCACTTAACTCTACTTGATGAGTTAAGTGACAAATGCAAGTCTAATCTAAAAAAACCTTTGAAAAGCTTGATAATAAATTCTCTTTTAATTGTTTATTATCAATCTTTTGTTGATAAATAATCACTACATACATATAGGTGTTCAAAAATCCAACACACAAATTTATATTATAATTTTTACTATTTATTTTTTAATAAAAAATAAGTGGCTTTAAAAGCAACAGATGACAATACTAAAATGATACTTTTGAATATTCTTTATTTTTATTCAAAAATAAATATTTTATATATACCTATAATTATGAGAGTATTTTTTTAGAAAAAATTAAAGCTCCCGGCCGAAGGCCGGGAGCCTTCTGAAAGTTGTACATCTTGGGGGGTACTTTTGACGGGCTATTTGGGAAAATTATCGAAAAGTCAAAATAATTACCCCATGGTACCTAAATCGCTTAGGTGCCGGGGCTATCTCCGGAACGGTTGGGGATAGCGAAAAACTTCTGCTGGGAGGCACGCAAGTGGGGATATGAGGATATAAACGGGAAAAAACTCGAAGTCGAAATCCCAACTTGGAGGGTACTTATGCCTGCGCAAAAATTTTGCCCCCAGGCTGAAAAATTATAACCCTTTACCGGATTGAGTTAGGGGTCTGAAAGTTTTGCATTCGGGTGTCTAATATGATGGGGCATTTGGGAAAAATAGGGATTTGTCAAAATAATTGCCCCATGGTACCTAAATTGTATAGGTACCCGGGGTATCTCGGGAGTGGGGGAAGATATTGAAAAACTTCTGCTGGGAGGCACGCACGTTGGTATTAGAGGATATTAATAGCAAAAAACCCGAAGTCAAAATTCGGATTTGAAGGGTACTTATGCCTGCGCAAATATCCCAAAATCCCAGTTTCGCAAATTTCGAAATTTACGAAACTAATCGACAATTCACGTGTGATATGTCAAATGAAAGCTCTCGAAGAGCTGAGTCTGGATAAATTTAGTTTAAATTTTTCGGACCACCTTGGACCAAGTTACAGTAGCCCAAAGTTTCAAGATATTTTTATGTAAAATTGGGAACGGTGGCTCCAATTCTTAAAAGTGAATTAAAACGCGTTTTCGATATCCTATCTTAAAGAGCGTCCCCTGGCGGTCCGAAAAAGGTATAATATGTCGGGGGTCCACTTGAGTCTGAAAAAGTTATGGCCAATGTTCGCAAATGTCGCGAAACTTTTTTTGACTCTAACGTCCAGGGGGAATTTTTTAAAATTTTTCTTACACCGGATTTGGACTCAGCGCATGTCAGAGTACCATATGGGACGTTTTATGGGTCAAAATCCGAAAATTTTGTTCCCTCGAATTTTTCTAAAGGGGTACCCCTTTTGTGGGATTTTTGGGATTTTTTAGGGGATCATAACTTTTTCTGGGATTGGGATTTTTGAATGGGAGTTGCTTTATCAAATAGAGTAAAAAATTAGAAATTTTTTGAGCCCAAAAAATTTCGAAAAAAATTATAATTGGAGGTGTAGGGGTCGAATTTCAAATAACCCAAAAATTTTCGGTTTTTCGAAATTTTTTCGGGATTTTTGCCGGTGGTTCGGGCCGATTGTATTTTTCCTGGATTAACCAGATTTTTCTACATATTATGAGATTTTAAAATTTTCAAAAAAGGTATACTTTGGGCGATATATGATTTTTTGAAAATTTCAGGGATTTTTTCTGGCCTAAATTTCAGGCCAAAAAAATATTTTTTTCAAATTCAATATAGATATGGCAAATGAGATATCATTCGAAAGCTCTCATCGAGCTGGATATAAAAATATTTTTTTCGAATTTTTTCGGTACATTTTGAAGAAAGTACAGAGGTTCAAAAATTTGTGGGGGGTGAGTACAGTACTCGGAAAATTATGGTAGGAAAGAGGAAAAATGATTGACAGGTGAAGTTGATGGCAGAGAGGCGAAATTTTTCTCCGTCTCTGACCATGCGGGGCAAACCGTAGAAGAGTTTGAAGGTGAATTTTGTATATGGGGGAAAATTTTGTGGAGGGATAAGCTGGATCCTGTTATGGATCTGAAGCAGCAATGCTTCGTGAAGCATCTAATGCTTCGAAATTTTGTTTCGGATTGGACACTCATCCTTCTAATTGAAAGGATGAGTCCAATCATCCTTCTAATTGAAAGGATGAGTCCAATCATCCTTCTAATTGAAAGGATGAGTCCAATCATCCTTCTAATTGAAAGGATGAGTCCAATCATCCTTCTAATTGAAAGGATGAGTCCAATCATCCTTCTAATTGAAAGGATGAGTCCAATCATCCTTCTAATTGAAAGGATGAGTCCAATCATCCTTCTAATTGAAAGGATGAGTCCAATCGAGGGGAAAACGAGGGTCAAATGACCGAAGTGACTCTAAGATGAAGGATGAGTCCAATCGAGGGGAAGACGAGGGCCGAAGGCCCGAAGTGACTCTAAGATGAAGGATGAGCCAATCGAGAGGATGACAAGTTGGACAAGACAAGTTTGCCCGAGCTTTCATTACATCTAAAAGGCAAAGCAATTGTCAAAGGCAAAGCATAGATCCTCCGAGGCCGAAGGCCGATGAAGCGGCGGGCCGAAGGCCCGCCGGTTGGCGAGGGCCGTAGGCCCGAGCTTTCATTACATCTAAAAGGCAGAGCAATTGTCAAAATTTTAAAATTTTCAAAAAAGTTATACCTTTGGCGAGATATGATTTTTTGAAAATTTCGGGGATTTTTTCTCGCTGAAATTTCAGGCCCAAAAAATATTTTTTTCAAAATGGATATAGATATGGCAAATGAGATATCATTCGAAAGCTCTCATCGAGCTGGATATAAAAATATTTTTTTCGAATTTTTTCGGTACATTTTGAAGAAAGTACAGAGGTTCAAAAATTTGTGGGGGGTGAGTACCGTACTCGGAAAATTATGGTAGGGAGAGAGGAAAAATGATTGACAGGTGAAGTTGATGGCAGAGAGGCGAAATTTTTCTCCGTCTCTGACCATTCGGGGCAAACCGTAGAAGAGTTTGAAGGTGAATTTTGTATATGGGGGAAAATTTTGTGGAGGGATAAGCTGGATCCTGTTATGGATCTGAAGCAGCAATGCTTCGTGAAGCAGTTTCTGCTTCAAAATTTTGTTTCGGATGGGACTAATCATCCTTCTAATTGAAAGGATGAGTCCAATCATCCTTCTAATTGAAAGGATGAGTCCAATCATCCTTCTAATTGAAAGGATGAGTCCAATCATCCTTCTAATTGAAAGGATGAGTCCAATCATCCTTCTAATTGAAAGGATGAGTAAAATCGAGGGGAACACGAGGGCCGAAGGCCCGAAGTGACTCTAAGTGGAAGGAAGAGTCCAATCGAAGGGAAGACGAGGGCCGAAGGCCCGAAGTGACTCTAATTGAAAGGATGAGTCCAATAGAGAGGAAGACGAGGGCCGAAGGCCCTTAGTGACTCTAAGTGGAAGGGTGAGTCCAATAGAGAGGAAGACGAGGGCCGAAGGCCCGAAGTGACTCTAAGTGGAAGGGTGAGTCCAATCGAGGGGAAGACGAGGGCCGAAGGCCCGAAGTGACTCTAATTGAAAGGATGAGTCCAATAGAGAGGAAGCGAGGGCCGAAGGCCCGAAGTAACTCTAAGTGGAAGGCGAGGGCCGAAGGCCCGAAGTGTTCTAAGAGGAAGGACGATCCCAATGGAGGAAAGACGAGGGCCGAAGGCCCAAAGTGACTCTAAGTGGAAGAATGATTCCAATCGAGGAGAAGACGAGGGCCGAAGGCCCGAAGTGACTCTAAGTGGAAGGATGATCCCAATGGAGGAAAGAGATTTTGTTTTGGATTGGACTTATTCTTCTAATTGAAAGGATGAGTCCAATCAAGGGGAAGTCGAGGGCCGAAGGCCCGAAGTGATTCTATATAAAAGGATGAGTCCCGAAGTGACTCTAAGTGGAAGCATGGCTCCAATCGAAGTGAAGACGAGGACCGAAGTTCCGAAGTGACTCTAAGTGGAAGCATGGCTCCAATCGAAGTGAAGACGAGGGCCGAAGGCCCGAAGTGACTCTAAGTGGAAGAATGAGTCCAATCGAGGGGATGACGAGGGCCGAAGGCCCGAAGTGACTCTAAGTGGAAGGATGAGTCCAATCGAGGGGAAGACGAGGGCCGAAGGCCCGAAGTGACTCTAAGTGGAAGGATGAGTCCAATCGAGGGGAAGACGAGGGCCGAAGGCCCGAAGTGACTCTAAGTGGAAGAATGAGTCCAATCGAGGGGATGACGAGGGCCGAAGGCCCGAAGTGACTCTAAGTGGAAGGATGAGTCCAA